TGCTGTAGGTGTGTGGTGAGCTGGGTGGTACCAGAGGGGATGGCGTTGGAGAGGTGACCTGTTCACGCGGTTGGGGTTGGGGTTGGTGCTGTGCTGAGCTGCGAGGTGTGAATGCCCCGGTCCTGGACCTGGTGTGTGTTTGGCAGTGCTGGCGTTCATCCTCTCAGAGCAGAGTGGTCCATTCAGCAGCAGTCCGAGCGATCTCTTAGATGTAAAATCTGTAAACACTGGTATTTCTGCTCGTCGCCCCGTGCTCAGTCCACTGCAGCCCTGCTCGGTGTTCGGTAACATCCGTGTTTGGTCAGAAGGGCCCCTCCAGCAACCCCTGCCCGTGCGGTGTTTTCCAGGCACGCTGGCGTGTACACAGCGGAGGAGGTGGCGCTGATCATGCGGGAGAAGCTGATCCGCCTGCAGTCCCTCTACATCGACCAGTTCAAGCGGCTGCAGCACCTCCTGAAGGAGAAGAAGCGCCGGTACCTGCACAGCCGCAAGGGAGAGCACGAGGCCATAGGCAAGTGCGGGCACGGGCAGGCACCGAGCGTGCTCCTGTGGGAACACAGCTCCTCTGAAGCACACAGAGCTCTGCAATTAGAAAAGAGACTTTGTGCCCTCTGTGGAAGCAGGTTTCAGAGCAGCACTGACATCTCTGCCTCCGCAAAGGGCAGAAATGGGGTGAAAATGGCAGCAGGACCGAACTCCATAGAGGAGGTGTTTGCGCCTGGCCCCGTGCCCCACATTGGTATCGCTGGCTCCCTTTGCTCTTCAAAGTTTGCAGGGTTGTCAGGAAATGAGACTACAAAGTTAATTCTGAGACAAAAGCTCCTTTTTTGTGCGGGGCTTCCTGTTTTTGGCTTTACAAACAAGACCCGTGTTCATCTGCAGGGCCCTGGTGCCGCAGAGGTTTGTGTGGGCGCTGCCCCGGTTCGGTGCCGGTTCCCCCCTCGGTGGCGCGGGTGCGGGATGAGGCTGGGGCTGTCCCCGAGCATTTTGTGACAGCACAGCCCCGGCAGAGCTTGTCTGGAGAACGGCAAAGCACAGCCCGGTCACGAGCAAAAATAACCAAGTTTGGTACACAGCAATTTGGTAGAAGTCTTTTTTAGCAAACCAGTAACGGAGCAGCAGATCCAGGAATTACAGCTGGGAGCGCTCACGGAAGCTTCCAGAAGTGGCACAGGAGCCAGCTGAGGTTTGACAAGCCCTGTTCTGGCTGCAGAGATCACAGACGGCTCTGAAAGTCTCTGTCAGCCCAGCAGCTCCGTGTGCGCACAGAGGAGCTGGGGTAAATTCGGAGATGGGGTCTGCTTTGTGTGGAATGAGACTCGTGTCCTGTTTGCGTGCAATGCGACGTGGTTACGCGGCTCTGGGGCTCTCGCCGGCTCATTTTGGGTGTCCCCAAAGGGGAACGCGGTGGCGAGCGGTGCCTGACCCCCCTGCTCCCGCAGGCAGCAGCCTCCTGACGGGCCCCGAGGGGCTGGCGC